TATGAATTTCATCCCATTCCTCAAGACCTGGCCAACTTTACTATAAATAGTTGGACAATCCCTTTACACCAGGAATAGGAAACATCTTTAAAAATAGATGAAATTGCTGAATTAATATACAGTGGTTTCCTTTTATCCTCAAGGTAAAGAAAAGTCTAGGCATGCTTCTCAGGTAACATCTGTTGTAGTTGAGAATATTCTCCTTCCAGTAAATAAAGAATTCTCAGAAGTAATGTACTCACAGTAAAGCATGACACTGACACTGATTCTTATTCCCACCCCAAACTATTTTGTGTCACCTTTTTCTTTCCAGACCCTTTCTCTATGGTTACCATGCCAACTGCCAAGAATTCTACAAATGGGAGAACATTTTGTTTTAGAAGTCTTTTCTTTCCTGAAGGATTAATGCTGCAAAGTTAATTTGGATAATAACCAGCATCCCTTTGAGAGATGCTGTCAGGTACACTTCTGCTCAAGATGATCAATCCATATTTGGGAATGTACCAGTATTATGCCTCGTTGTACATTTAACTAGGATGTGAACACTTTCCATTACCTTTTTCTGACATTTAATGCATCAACCATCTCTGCAAACCTTGTTTACTGTTGATAATAATTCTACACAGTCAGTAGCATTGCATGCTGCGTCTGAACTGCCTTTAACATCTGAAGCACTACAGCTACCAAAATGATAAATCAGAGAATTTGAATTGTACAATACAATTGTTCATCTAAATCCTGTAATTGTACAGCAGTGCCAGAAACATGTGTAACACAACTAAGAAGCTGCACAGTTCAACAGATAGGGTTTCTGCTAAAGTTAATTTGGAATATGCTTATAGTTCAGCATGTCAAATTTCAGATAGTAACAATTAAGACATTCCTACGAGCCAGTTTTAAAACAAAAAGCTGTTTTTCAGCAAGAAGCTAGGCACAGTCAGACAACAGACAGACATTAAGAAAATATGAATTTAATTATACAGGTTGAAAGTGACCAAGATGCATTGAAAGAGGAGATATTTTTAGAATTGAGGTATGTGTGGCTGATCACAGCTTTAGTTTTAAACATTTCCAGCACACAGCTGGATAGATGAAATGAACACAGGTTAAGTTCGCCTCACTTCACAATTCAGAAAACCATGTTCTTTGTTCCTTGTTTGTTAACCCCTATATTGCCGTATTGCTGCAAGTGATGCTCAAACCACTAGAGAAAACAAGGTTCTGTATGGTCCAGCTACCAAAAAGGGACATACTCACATGATTATTAGACTGACATTTGATTTAATTTAATTGTATGAGAAAAAAAAATACAAAATGCATACATTATGGTAAGTAAGATCAAGAGTTGGTGTAACATGTGTGGCTCATGTGATGAGAGAGAAGTACACAATGCAGCTTTAGGGTCTTGGGAATCTTTCCATGCAGACTAGTCAGTGGAAAAGAACTATGTGTCCAATCCGCTTCCTTTGCTAAAATAAACACATTTCTAAACCACTGTATCTAGGCGTATTTTTAGGACTTATCAGATTCCTTGCCAAACAGGACAAAACATTTGCTGGTATTATTGCTGATGAAAATACTCTTTTCAGGCCTGTAAACTCTACCTTAAATAGTAAAGTTTACAAAGCTAACCAAACATTTTTGCACTGATTAATGCCCTTTTGCAACATGTCAATCACATCCATTGTCACTGTGTGTTGGAAGACCGCTGCTTTTTGTACTTCAATATACTATTGTGGCAAAACCACTAGTATTGTGTTATTGTTGCTTGATGTGTATGGTTTCCTTAAAGGAGAACTATGAGGTGAGTGAAAATCAACCATCCTCATAGTTCGAGCCGACGTGTGACAATGAAACTGTCACATGTCAGCTCAATAGATCGGCAAGTGAGCGAACACATACCTTCGCTCGCTCACTTCTCGATCATCTCCCTGCAGGGATTTCCCCCCTCCCCGCTCCTCCAGCGCTGACTGGAGGAACGGATGGGAGAGGGGGCGGGTATAGCTGGCTCTGCGTCTATATAGGCAGAGCTTGCTGTCACTCACGCAGCTGGGTGGATCTTGACAGTAATGTCGGGATCCGTCCCGGCTGCGGCAGTCTCAATATATCTCGAGCTGCAGCTCGTGATATATTGAGCTTTGGGTCAGGGGAGGACGCTACTTTATGTCCTCCCATGACCCTTAAGAGAACTATGCGGAAAAACACTTACTCCATAGTTTTCTTTTAAACAGAGGAACTACAGCCTATTAAAAAGGAAACTATGATAGAATTCCCAAACTTATTTTTAAATTGACTATTTATGTTTTTTTAAAATATCTCTATAAAACTTTTATTGTACAAATATACATTTAAAACAGGGATGCTTTGTTTCCAAAGGCAGGCTGGGCTTTCTTATCATACAACCTAGCATTGACTGTATGTTTCTGGCAGAAAGTGTTAATTTGCTAGTTAAAGTGGACCTAAACTTAAAAAGTGTAAGGTTTGTCTGTCTAATAGGGATTCGTTGGCACAGTTTAATGTGACAAAGTAATCAATAAAACTAGTCATTAAAAACATTTAGAAAATGTACCTTGAGCATACAATTTCCAACTAGAAGAAGCCTCACAAGAGCCTATCAGTACTTTCCCATCATCGAAGGCATATGCTGCCCTCTCCTTTCTCTGATCATTTTATTACATTTTAGTGCCATCAGAGGCCGGGTCTAGGAACAGGAAGATCTGCCTAGTAATAGCCTGCATATGCACTAATATGGCGTCTGCTTCACACCACTGCCGAGTGGGTGACAAAGTGGGCCTAGGAAGGAGCAGCTGCAGAATGCCTACTGTGTAACACATCTCATCTTGTCACATCTGACTTGTTTCACACAAAAGATAAGGTTGCTCAGTCTAGGTCACTAGGTTTTATGATGCTGTCTCCACTAGCAGAGCGGACTGAAAATTGTCCACTGTTGTGATCATTCAACTCCTGCTAAAAATTGGTATCTGAACAGGCCCTGTTCTTGCTTTCAGCTGCAACTGAAATGTAAAAATGTTTCTTTTATTCTTTTGAAATCTGAATGTGATAATTGTATAAAAAAATCTAAAAACACAGTACCAATTCTCTTTAACCACTTGAAGACCAGGTGTTTACACCCCCTTCCTGTCCAAGCAATTTTTCAGTATTCAGCGCTGCAGTACTTTGACCGACATTTATTCCGTCATGTAACGCTGTACTGAAATAAATTTAATAAACATTTTTGGGGACAGATAGAGCTTTCTTTTGGTGGTATTTAATCCCCACTGGGGGTTTTATTTTTTACTATATTAAGGAAAATTTTTTGAAAATTTAAAAAAAGAAAACTGCTTTTTTGATATTATGTTATAATACATTTATTATTACCCAATTTTTGGGTAAAATATAAAACATGTTAAGCCGTAAAAATTGTGTGCGCTGCAAAATCGCAGAAAACGGCCACACCCAAAATTGTCCATAGGCGATGATTTAAAAGCTTTTACCGCTCATCAGTTTAGTGTTATCAATGATTAATGGCCTTAGAATTATTGCTCTCACTGCGACGATCGCGGTAAAATGTAACGTGTGCGGTGTAATGGGCGCAATCGTAGTTTTTGCACATATGCACACCCAAAGCATGTTTGCACGCTAGTGTATGTGGGGGTGGAGACTTTTAAAACATGTTTGTGTTTTTTTTGATTATTTTTTATGTGTGAGTTTATTTTTCTTTTTTTTACTTTCATTTTTTTTCCCCCACTTAACTTTATTGTTATCACATAGGGGGCTAAGAATCCCCCTATGTCATAGCAAAGAGGATGTGACAGGTCTTCTTTATGGAGCCATCTGTGATCTTTAAGACCCCTAATATCAGCTAGGGACCCCCAAAGAAGTTGATGAAGCAGAGATCTGCTTCAGCTTCTGAAGCCGGAGAGTGACAACAGAATGCGGAAGTGATGTAATATACATCACTTCCTGCATTCTGACACCAGAGAGGAGATCAGAGGGAGATTGTGTGCTGATCTTCCTCTGATCCCCTGTCATGGAGCCACCATGCCGATCCCGGGCTCGCATTGGGCACAGCGGAGCTCAGGACCAGCTGAGGGTGGGGACTGCGCAGGGGAGGCGTGCTGGCCGTCACCTCAAACAAGCGATGCGGGGCAACTCTATGGCTGCTGGATTACTTGTATGTAAACAGGCATTGTTGCCTGTTTAAAATGTTTTACAGTTTCCCGCTAGTGCGGGGGCGGGACTAGATGACCTGTTACATCAGCCGGGCAGCAGTTAATGTTATTTAGATATACATGTGATTTTGATCAGCTTTGTATAAGTCATCTGGCTAGAGTTCTTGGAATACCCACAATACTAAGCAGTGGCTCTAGGTTAAATAAAGAATCTTAGGTGAAATGTTTTATTCTCTTCAATAAGCAAGTGTTTTGATGATAATAATAATAATAATTAGGGATGCACCGATACCACTTTTTTAAGGCCGAGTACGAGTACCGATACTTTTTTTCAAGTACTCGCCGATACCATCGATACCGATGCTTGTATCGGTATTGGTGCATCCCTAATAATAATAATATTAATAATAATAACTGATGCATGGGAAGTGTAATTTCTTTTTTTTTTTAGTTATAGGTCCCCTTCATGGCAACACATAGGCGCTTGTTTCTATACACAGTAAAGTGTTACCGTAAAAACATTTCCCTGTTTATGAAAATAGTGTTTACCTGTAATTATATACCAGTTTGTGGGAAGTTGGCTTATTCAAGTAAGGTGAAGTAAACTTCTCCTACCTAGTATCCATTTCTACCTAAATAATCTCTCTAGCATTGTTTCAGATTAACACAGCATCAGATAGTTTGTCAGATTTCATATATAATTAAGGTTGTTTCTTTCACCTATCACATACACAATTATTATAACTGCAGCAGTGCTCTCACATTACTGACTAAAATGCTTCATTATAGAGAATGTTTGCTTACAGGATATCAAGCATGTTTGTATACCTGCTGGAATAGTGAATCGTATCTTCATGGTGATACTGATCATCAGCGTATAACGAGGAAGAGGATATAGTTGTTGCTAAGGAAGCAGCTTCAAACAAGGAAGGGGTGTTTGGCACAAGGTCAGGCCGATGTCTTGAATTTAATGCTGCATAAAGAAAAAGAACATAAACAAACATTGAAGTCAAGATTACTGTAGATGTATATCATAAAAATATTGATTCACCCTAGTGTGACCCTGATCGGGCTGATTTGCCAAAATCAGACATCTACGAATTCCAGATGATCGACGAGTCCAGTTTTTTTTTTCTTAAGAAAGGATATAAAAAAAAACATCAGGCATATGGGCTGGAATCTCAATAGCAAGAGGGTCTTGAGTGTGCAGGCCCCATGCTATTCCATGCCATATGTCATCAAACAGCAAGCTGGTGCTTCAATATTCACAAAATCACATAGCCACAAATCCAGCTGAGTGTTGTTTAGGCATCATGTAGCAGGATGGTAACTTTTGGGACGGGGCAAATCTTCCCAAAAATATTAAAGCTTAAAAATAAAAGAGGACGATGAAATAAAACCCATGGATGAGGTGAGCTGTATAATGTATTCCCTTATTTACATCCAGCTGTCATCTTCGGTGTTGGAGGCATCCAATTTGTCTACAGACACAATATTCATGTAAATTATTCACCATTTTAGTAGGAACTAGTGATATCAAATATTAGTTCCTAGCACACTAGTAGCCTGAATACCACTTTGTCCCACAAAAACAGCTACTGTCAATAGGCAATACGCATTGGTAGAACTACAGAGGTCACAAGGAGCCTATTGGCAATGACTGAAGTCCACTGTCGTGTCTGCAGTTACTTCTTTATGTACTGCAATGTGCACAGACAGTCAGTGTGGCGGTTTAATCATGTAATGTCTACAGGTATTGCTGTTGCTCTGGTTTCCAACCTTATACTGTAGTTAATCAGGTACGGTACAGACAAATGGTGTAGTTGACAAGCCCAATTAATGTCTTATCGTAAAGGTAACCTTGGAAATATGAAGATTGGCACTAAATACGGCGAAGGGAATTTATCAAACCTGAAGCAGTCAAAATCTGAAGCAGCTGTGCATGGCAACCAATCTAGAGTTGCAACAATTATTCGATTAAGTCGATTAAAATCGACGATGGAAAACGTTGTCACCGCTGCACGCCGCTCACGCCACGCCCACGTCGGTTGAGCCGCTCGCTCCTACGCTGGTATACCCGCTCACGCGACGCCGCTTACGCCACGCCCAAGCTGAGGACATGCGTCTGGCCCGCTCCTCCCGGTGAGCTTCCCAACTAGCTGCTGTCCGCCAACAACGAACAACGCCATCATGGTGTTCTGCATTGTATAATACAGTGACACACTGCAGAACACCAGCAACTACAGAGGAACACCAAATCTCAGCAATAATACATTAAACAGCCTTTATAATGTATTATTGCTGGGATTTGTTGTTCCTCTATAGCTGCTGGTGTTCAGCAGTGTGCCGCTGGTATTCTGTAGAGCTGCAACAATTATTAGATTAAATCGATTAAAATCGACGATGGTAAACGTTGTCAGCGTTTTCCATCGTCGATTCGTCGGCTAAAATTAAAATTTCCCACTCACGCCCGCCTGTTCGCAGCTCCATACACGAGTTACGCTATGCACGCTGCGGACGCCATGCCCACCGCGCACACGGCCGCTGGACACACGCCCGCAGAGCACGCCGCCGCCGCGACTTACAAGGGTTCGGAAATAGGTAAGGGGGACCTGTTTTAATGTTTCCTGTTTAAAAAAAAAAAACAGCGGCACACTGCAGAACACCAGCAGCTATAGAGGAACAACAAATCCCAGCAATAATACATTATACAGGCTGTTTAATATATTATTGCTGGGATTTGTTGTTCCTCTATAGCTGCTAATGTTGTGCAGTGTGCCGCTGTATTATACATTGGTTTTCTGCATTGCATTGTATTGTGCATGGTGTTCTGCATTGTATAATACAGCGACACACTGCAGAACACCAGCAGCTATAGAGGAACACCAAATCCCAGCAATAATACATTAAACAGCCTGTATAATGTATTATTGCTGGGATTTGTTGTTCCTCTATAGCTGCTGGTGTTCAGCAGTGTGCCGCTGTATTATACATTGGTATTCTGTAGAGCTGCAACAATTATTAGATTAAATCGATAAAAATCGACGATGGTAAACGTTGTCAGCGTTTTCCATCGTCGATTCGTCGGCTAAAATTTAAATTTCCCACTCACGCCCGCCTGTTCGCAGCTCCATACACGAGTTACGCTATGCACGCTGCGGACGCCATGCACACCGCGCAAACGGCCGCCGGACACACGCCCGCAGAGCACGCCGCCGCAGCGACTTACAAGGGTTCAGAAACAGGTAAGGGGGACCTGTTTTATTGTTTCCTGTTTAAAAATTAAAAAAAGAGGCACACTGTAGAACACCAGCAGCTATAGAGGAACAACAAATCCCAGCAATAATATATTAAACACCCGGTATAATGTATTATTGCTGGGACTTGTTGTTCCTCTATAGCTGGTGGTATTCTCCATCGCGCTGTATAATGTATTATTGCTGGGATTTGTAGTTCCTCTATAACTAGTCAGTGGTAATCTGCATTGTGCAGTATAATCATTATACAGCGCAATGGAGAATACCACCAGCTATAGAGGACTACAAATCCTAGCAATAATACATTATATACAGCGCAATGCAGAATAACGCCAGCTACAGAGGACTACAAATCCCAGCAATAGTACATTATAGTATAATGTACTATTGCTACATTCCTCTATAGCTGCTGGTATTCTGCACTGTGCCGCTGTATAATGTACTATATTGCACACCACACTCTTTTTTTTACTTCCACCACGCCAAGCTTGCTCCCGTGATGGACTACAATCTCAATAGAAACTAGTAGTCCATCACTGGAGCCTTTTTTTTTTTTTTTCCTATTAATCGAACTTAATAATCGGCTAACTAATCGATTATGAAAATAATTGTTAGCTGCAGCCCTAAACCAATCAGCTTATCTCTTTCATGTTCAAATCTTAAATGAACAAACTGCAGATAGAAGCTGATTAGTTGCCATGCACCAGTTTCAGTTTTGATAAATTCCCCCAGCAGCTTTTTGTTGGACTGGACTACAGATCTGTCTATAGGTAACATGCAACACCCTGTCTCTTATACTAAGGGAAATATATTGTCCCTTTGGGTTTTACCACCAGGTCACTATTATTTCCTCAAAATGAGGCCAGTGTTCATGGTGCCTGGAAACTTTCCTGCTTTAAAGTTAGACATTAGCCAGACAGAATAGACACAATACTCAGTTATTTGCTTCAGATTTTGCTGCATTATGTGTTCCAATATTTCGTACCCTCCTCATCCAGACTGGTGAAGCTCTGACCCTCTGCTAATTTTAGGTTTTTGTCTTCTGACCATTCTTGATTGCTGGGAGATAGTATTTCCTGCGACGAAGACTTCAGAGCTGGAATTGAATTGCACCGTCGTTTGGAAGGTGAAGACTTTAAAGCTGCAAAATGAGAGTAAAAGTGTGTAAATATGTTAATGTTGTGTACCTAATATCATAAAGAGCTATGAAATCAGTTTTCCATGCAAACCAAAAGAGGAGAAACAGATAATGATGTGGGAGTTATTTTACATTTGCTCCTCACCATTGTGTGCCCCCAAACAGTCCCTACTTTGCTGCAATATACTTAGCAACTCGGAGTCTCTGCTTCCCTTACTGCCTGCAGCTATAGACCATTGACAGTACACACTTGCCATACTAAAAATATGTCAGGGAGGGCACAAACACAGGAGTCTGGGAGTAGTTGGTAGGAAAAGGGTATACTGGATTGGAATGCAGCCACCTTTAGCCAGGATTTACTTGTTGTTGCTCCAACCTCAGTCCCCAAACCAACACAAACTATACAGATTTATTTAATAAAAGTAATACAGCTCAGTTGCCCACAACAACCAATCCTATTTCATTCTGATGATGTTAGACCAATGATACAAAAAATCTGATATGCTGATGTGTTACACATGTGTTTACATAGTGACTTAATGAATAATCTTTTTAACGCTGACCAAGCGAAATGTACCAAATCAAATAGTTTCTTCTTGGTGTTGGTGATTATGGGTATTATGTAAGACTCAATTGAGATCAGATTTGTTGACCCTTGATATTTATTTTACACGCTTGGGTTTGTTCAAACAATCACTGTACATCAGGTAAGTGGCTGCAGCCTGATTGTCCTGGTGCTGTCCACACCCATGAAACTGGGAAGGGACATTCATAATGGTAACATTACTGGGGTTGCATAAGGCTTTATTCCTACACGAGAAGTTCACCTCCACATACAGTATTATCTGGAAAGAAGTAAAAAAAAACTTTTCTATGTGTTTAGTATTTAAGTTCATTGCTTTTATGTACATTACCACGTATTAAAGCTGAACTCCAGAATAAGAAAAAAAGTCTAAATACAGGAGCCATGTGCATTCTTAAGTTAATCTTGGTGTGCTTTGTATACTTCTTCCAGATCTGTGCAGTAATCTAGCATAAAGCTTTGCCTTTGTACAGGAGCTTCCTGTAATCAAGACTAGTCACTGCTGTTCTTTCTCTGCAGGGTGACTGGTCTTTTATTCACCCCCTTCTGCAGGCAGCCTGTAGTCGGTGGGCCTGCTAGGTCCCTCTCTGCACAGGCTATGCAGAGCATAGTGATGATGCCATTGCTACATTTACAAGGTACACATAAAGTAAATTCATATCCTTTGCGTCTGTTGATGATTTTGTGCCCGGAGTACAGCTTTAACATCTATGTACATGCCTTTATGCGTGTTTATATTAGTTTACATACATTCTTCACTAAACAAAGTAACCGAAGAAGCATGTGTTGCTTCCAATTTCAATGCTGCTCAACACATAGAAGCATAACTTGCTAATCATGTGAACTGCCTCACCGCTTGTCATTATACTTATTTTCGTACACTGCATATTAATGCATGTAAGTGCTGCTCCTGTAAGTGAGTCTCAGCACATTCACACTCTGGCAAATGTTACTTTTAACAATGTCATTTTTATACAATCAATTCAGAAAATGATCTGTATAAAAAATCAAGGCAACTGGACTTGCTGTATTTTTCTTGAAGACGTTTCACTGGTCATCCGACCAGCTTTCTCAATTCAGCATGCACCAAATGAGATAAGTCCAGTTGCCTTGACTTATTTTTTACAGATATACCATGACCTGGATGAATGAGAATCTTCACAGATAATATAGAAAATTGCTAAAAAAAATCTACTCTTGTGCACAGTTAAATAAAATAAACATTTTCTGGATTTATATTTACATAAATACAGAAACTATTTTTGTAGATCAATCTTTCTTCATGGCCACGTGTTATATAGAAGCAACTGAACCAAAGTATGTTTTCTTTGCCAAGGTACAGGACATATCAGGTAGAATGACAGGTTTATGCACAAAGGGGTAAAGAGTTTGGAGAAGGCAGGAGAAGTGACCAATCTCGGACAACATAGCTAAACTGGAAAGTGAGCTGAATTGGAGAATTTTTGCAAATCAGCGATGTTGTCCTAGATTGTTCACTTCTCCTACCTTCTCCAAACCTTCACCCTTTTGTGAATAACCCTGTAAACGTCACTGTAAAAGGTGGTGGTAGAGTCCTTTATGCACCTATATCAGTAATTGGTGACTAAAGTTAGCATTCTGCTGCAGAATAATTAGCAGTGCTGTGCGGACATACATTATCACCCTCATGAGTACAGTATAAGATCTTCCTCTGTTAATACGTCTAAAGACATTATAAAATGACGTGACCAGCTTTTCCCTTTCAATTCTCTGGTATCATCTTCAAGAAGAATGATGATGTTGAAGTGCAGTACCTTGGACCTTTTTGAAGACCTTGGAATTCATAAACTTCAGAAACCTGCCTGCATAGAAACTTGGCCTGTGGACTGACACTGTGTCCTAGAAAAAAAAGAACAGGCATCTATGTTATAAAACAGTAAATCCAGCTAATGCAAATTCCTCTGATAAGCCCATGAGAACGCTTTCTCCCAATGAAATTCTTGTGCTAGCAAATCCTGTTATACAAGATTTTCCCTTGGCTCCCTCGGGAGAGTCTTATCAAATAAATCCAGCATACAAACTAAAGGTATAAAAAAAAAAACACATCACATGCCCTGTTAAGACTGAGGGAAGAAAATATTAAAGTCCTGGAATTTAGTTAAATATAGACTGCAAATTATAGTATTAATGGGATCTTTCTGCAAACATTTATTGTTAAATAGAAGTAAATTGTAAGGTAAAAAGGGGAGGTTCAGTCATATATGTGCCCCTCCTCTATTTACAATATGTAAATGACTGTGAAGAAGGGTGGTGAACTGGCCCTTGGGACAGAAGTGCTGGACGGTCTGGGATAGCCTACGTGGTGTCTGACAGGTCATAGTACCACACACTACTGGGCCATTTTGGTGCACTGAGAATCACTGTAATGCCTTCCATGTCGAGCAGATGGGGAAGGAGTTTCAGTGGAGGAAAGTGTAGATCAGACTGTACTTATCACACAAACCCACCAGGGAATCCACTGGTCTTGATAAAAGTAAAAATGTCTACAAAAAATGAGTTTGCTTTTCTCTACAGTTGGCCAGTGTCCATTTCCTCCTATAAGTGGCAGTATAACCCAATATTGCTTATTTATAGGGATACTCTATACCATGATGAACATTTAAGAAATACATTTTTTTGGGAGTTCAGCTTTAAAATGCCAATGCACAGGATCTTAAGTTCCCTTGGTGTTCTGCTGATAGTGAGCAGACAATTTAAGAAATGCTATATCACCCAATCAGGTGCTACTGTCCTCTCAGGTTCTATTAATTAACATAGTACAGAATAGTACTTCTCTTAATGGCATTTCCACGCAATACTTCATTATATAATACATTATTTTGTGTGCTGGCAAACTCCTTTCAGTCTTCCAGAAGTACTTCTACAATTCATGTGTATTAGTACAATTACAGCATGTAAATTTGTATTTGAACCCACAGAAAGATATCTGATACTACTGAACATAATCCCAAAATATGTGCTTGTATTGTTCACTATACATCGACTAAGCAATGTGTCCACTCATAAGTGGGAGATAAAGGGGCAACAGTTTATTTGATGTTCTCCAATCGTTGCTAACTGCACTAAATAAGCAAACACTGGAGGTTTCTGCCTGTGTTCTCTTTCTCACATCCACTGACATAAACATGTATGCTTGGGCAATCTAAGCATGCATGTTTATGGGGAATTCTTCCAAGACCACAGAAAGATTATACAGTGTCTAAGAGACTCCAGAGCTGCAGTGTGAGCAGATGATTATGTCCTGACATTCAGGGTTTACATTATTCATAAGCAAACCAATGTATCCACTTGCACTTGTCCATACACATTACCTATGACTGGTCTAGAAAAATTGAATTTTTTTTAAAACTGCAAATGTCAGTTATATGACAGAGTTGTTTTACATTTTTAATTGATAGCATATCTGCCCTCAACCTCTAGTAAATTATTAATTTGCTGTTCAACTGACCGAACTAGCTGGGAAGAAGAATTAGATATAGTTATCTTGTATCCTTCTGCTTTTATGAGATGGTAGTATCTGGAGATGGAAGTGACAATCCTTAATTGTAATGATCAATTCTGTTTTTTTTTCATTTTGGGATGGTGTGATTTCAGTTGAATAATAGCATTACATTTCTAAAAATAAAGCCCAAGTCCCTCTTTAAGACATTACTGAAAACAAAGTTATCTAAACTGACTTTACTGCCAAAAGCATTATTGGCAAGACAAAGTCTCACCTAGCAGAGTTGGATTTAATGAAGGTTATTACTCATGTGAGTACATAAAAGGTAGTGGCAGGCAGCTATTTACACTATAGGAAAGGCAGGCAAAAGTTGGAGCTTGTGTGATGAAGAGGGAAGAATGCAATGAAACACGCACAATGTTAATATATGTTATTGCGGGGTATATAAGTGAAAATAAGACACTGCAGACATAATACAGTTAGTAAAATCTACAACAACCTCAAAATAATTCTGTAGAATGATCAAGGTATAAACGTTCATAATTACACTAGCCCATTGTGCATGTTTATGCCATGTGCTTACAGCCCCTGGTACTGGTCATATCTCTCCTGAAATCTAGTGGTCATCCAGAAAATTAAATCCTGTATATTTAGTTTTCCCCTCAAGATAAGTCACCTAAGGCTGGCCATACACTGTAAGACGTTCAGCAGATTCATAGCAATCGGACAAAATATTTTCACTGTGTAACCCCATCAGATCGACAAAAGTCGATTGATGAATCGGCCGTACAGTGACTGCATTCAGAAAGTTGTTGTAACTGTGCATGTATTCTGGCAGCGGTGGGTGCGTGTTGTCAGAATACAATAGCTGCGGTGGGAGATTCATCCATCCATACTAAACAGGAGAAATCTGTTAGATTTTATTCTGTTCAGCCTGTGGAAAAAATCTAATTGTGTATGGCCAGTTTAAGCAAAACTGATGTAGTGCACAGACATTTGATAATTCACTAAACCGTCTTGGCTGAATAGAGCAAAAACCTTCCCAGGTTTATGGGCTCCTTAAGGTGCAACTGAAACCAAAACTTGTTTTTCTTTAGTTTCAGACAGACTGGAGAAGGATTAGGGAGAGTCACCCTCTCTAAAGTGCGACTGAAGCCAAAACTTGTTTTTCTTTAGTTTCAGATAGACTGGAGAAGGATTAGGGAGAGTCACCCTCTCTAAAGTGCGACTGAAGCCAAAACTTGTTTTTCTTTAGCTTTAGACAGACTGGAGAAGGATTAGGGAGAGTCCCATCTCTATTTGTTCTGGTGACTGTTATCACTGAAAGTGAAATAAATCACACATTTTGTGTTGTCATCAGAAAAGGAATAGATGGGGAATATTCCAATGGAGACACTAGTTATGGTGATTCTGCTGACCACCAGGAATTTCCCACTCTTTGGGGGGCGGGGGGGTTCACTCACTTACTGGTGTGGCTATCAGACAGGAAGTGAAGGAACATCTCCTGATGGGACACAGAGATGGCTTAAAAAGCTGACAGGGGTTACTGCATAAAAAAAAAAACAGGAGCATAAAGAATCTGGAGCAGTTGCCCAATCAGCTTCTCTCTTCAGTTTGTTCAGTTAAGATTTGAAAATGAAAGAGAGAAGCTGATTGGTTGCCATGCACAGCTGCTCCAGATTTTGTCTGCTCCAGTTTTGATAAATTCTCCTCATTGAGTTTAGTGGCATAAACTCTATTTAAACACAAATTACATTACACAGGGTATTGTACAGAAGACTTTAAACAAAAAAGTTCAAATCGAGTTTGATGAAATCTGCCAACAGAGTACAGACAGGATTAATTATGTTAAACAAAACTCCACAGCCCCCTACTTAACATTACATAGAAGGGGAAAGACAACTAAGATGTTTCAGCAAGTAAAAGGGTCAGCTGCAATTTTTTTCACAGTTATGTTACATGAATGGGAACATGTAACAAATATATAGTAGATGTTATACAAATTTGGCTAAAAAAGTTGAAATGGACTTTGTCAGCCATTAAAGGGTATCCAAACTCCAAACTTTAAACATAATTTAACATAACTTTTCCCACAGTCACTGTGTCTACACTTGTCGTGGAAATTTATTAAAGGGCACTTCCAAAAAGTTTGTGACACTTGACTACCACACCTATATAAGCTTCTTGGATATCCTATTTCAAAACAGTGGGCATTAATATGGAGTTGGCCCCCCTGTGCACCTATGACAGCCTCCACTTTTCTGGGAGGGCTTTTAACAAGATTTTTATTGTGTTTTAATTTGGAATTTGTGCCAATTCATCCAAAAGAGAATTTGTGAGGTAAGATACCGGTGTCGGGTGAGAATACCCGGTTCACAGGGTTCAGATTCATACCAAAGATTAAAAATAAGGTAAAGGTTAGGACTCCTTGCAGACCACCCACGTTCCCCCACACGAAATCATGTCTTTATGAACCTGGTTTGTACACAGTCAAGTTGGAACAGACTGGAAGCCTACAGTTTTTTAAAGAGATCTTTGTATGTAGTAAAGCCTTGTTCACACCAAATGCAGAGCAGATCCGGTCAGGTTTCTGCACACGCACGCTAGTCTTTTAGACGCGTTTTTTGACGCGTTTTTGATGCGTTCCGGGCTCTTTTTGGTTAAAAAAATAATAATAATTTTTTTAAAGTTTAAAATGGGCTTTCAGTGTGTTCCAGGCATTGGCATGCGTTTTTGATGCGTTTCAGAGCAGATACAGAGCAGGTAAAATAGGGCCTGCTGCAGTTTTTTCACCTGCTCTGGATCTGCTCTGCAACTGCACGCTGCGATGTGAACTGGAGCAAAAAATACCATTGGAATACATTGGACGCAGTTTTGATCCGGTCTGCACCTGCTCTGCTCTGGATCTGCTCCGCGCTACGTGTGAACAAGCCCTAAAGTTACCAGTACACTTATTGGAAACATCTGAACCCAATAATTTGGAGGTTTATCCACATACATTTGTCCATGTACAGTAGTGTAGGCATGACTGTCAAGTGTCCATAAACTTTTAGCCATTTAGTGGAGATTTATAAGGGGAAGAATTTACCATTGTTACTGCCATTTACCACAGAAGAAAAACATCTATACATATTGACAAAACTCACCCCATCATAAACTAACGCTTTCCACGAATGTTCTAACTTTTTCATCAACCTGGAGACAAAACAAACGAAAAGTAAAGCAAGCAGTATTAACTTTTCATGATGTATCAGATTTAACATTCTTTATATAAAATGTTCTACAGGTTAGGTACTGGAAAATAAAAGCATGACATAAGTGCTGTTATGGCGCTGCAGTGAAGGATGTGAAATCTGCAAATTCAAATTCTTTATACTTACCTATAGGACTGTAGAATGTCAATGATGCCCATGAAAAGGAGGACCTGCTCGCCCTTGTGGTTTTTCGCGGGAATGCCACCCATCCTATAAAATGTTAAATATCATTAGCCCACCATGGTGTTATATGTACATTACAGAGAAATATATTTATTCATAAAACATTCATTAAACAACTGTGTTTATTTACAGTATATGAACATTTTTTTAATACAGTTAACAAGACATCCAAATAAACTACAAATTCAGTTCAGGGTAAAGGATGGTGCTCACCTCTGCACCCACTGCTTAGATTCCTTGGTGACCCTGCTTAGATGCTGGCCACTCTCACTACAGAGGTGAATTGCCTTACTCCAGGGCAGTGGATTTAAACACAGGGCTATAATAGAGTGAATTATCTCACAGGCTGACCCCATCAATTATAATCCAAACAGAAATCATAGGTTTGGGAAACCCCCTTTTTTGACTTGACCCTCTTGTGAGTTATACAAGCATACAAACTATGATTATTAGACACTGAAAGAGAGAAAAAAGGGTCTGTGATACAAATATCAACTAATCATATCCCATCTCTCATTATACCAAGGTAGGTAAGACAATTAAGGTTTATTGGAATTACTGATTGTAACAACTCTACTTTTTCCCTTTCACCTATTATATACATGTCATTCTCAAATTGATTTGATTCTCTAATTCACTTTTGGTTACCATGGGGTTCATTATGAACATGGATAAAAGGGAAACATTTACTATACTGTGCAAGTATGCTTTTATAAGATGAACAAAAATATTTTTTATCGCAGAGCTTATCACTTAAAGGTAGCCTTGAATTACAGTATCTGCTTGCCTTTTTTTAATCTAGCGCTACTGGATTAGTTAATATTGCCTTTTCTTTGTTGCATGGCATATTACTAACTAAGACAATCTTGCTTTTTCGCAGCGACTTGGATCAGTAAAGAGGCAATTCATAGAACTATAATTTTTGTAGCAGCAAGCTTTATGTATTTCTTATGTACATTTATGCTATGGTGTTGGAGATTTATAGGAATCATGTACTGGGAGGAATATGTTGGCTGCCATGTGTGCCTTGGAAGCTCAGTGGGTGATTTACAGACAATAAAGTGCTCTAAACATATCAGACACCAGCAAGGCAAACATAGTTGAACAAGCTTTTGATTGCTTTGTCATTCATAAATTGCAGATAAGAGTTCCAAGTATTTTTGCAAGATGATATTTTGAGGCTGATCAAGTACTGTCAAGAATGCTCTTATGTATGAAGTATTGTCGCGTCAAATAAAGTTTCCAAGTTGTAAATAATTGCACAAATGACTTACGTGTCCTCACTAATGACAGTGTCCACAGCTTTCCCTGGTCCTTGTATAGACTCCAGTGCAGTGGAATACAGCACTTTTTGCACTGACGGTCGCTTGTTGTCTATGGAATACTGAGATGTCTCTCCTTCCTTGTCTTTGGATGCATGGTCGAGCACATGAATTCCCAGTAGTAGGCTGTAGTCCATGATTTTGAAACTTTCTAGTACCTGCCAAAAACAGGCATATTTTTTTTATAATAACAGCATGGCAGATTCAGAATAAATTGATCAAATTAAGGTGTGTGGGTTAGACCTAACTAATCATAAACGGCCAAATTGCTTATTAATAGTAGGGCATTCTTAGATGTTACATTGGTAAATGTTTACAGAGCAAAAAAAAATTAAAACGTGGAATATGCTAACTGTGATATACAGGTTTATTCACAAAAGGGTGAAGAGTTCGGAGAAGTGAATAATCTAGGACAACATAGCTGAACTGGAAAGTGAGCTGAATTGGAGAATTTTTCCAAATTAGCTATGTTGTCCTAGATTGTTCACTTCTCCTGCCTTCTCCGAACTCTTCATCTTTAGTGAATAACCTTGTCAATGTCTTCACCATGTTCTCTGTGTAAAGCTGGAGAAAACAATATGCTGCAAAGGAGGTACGAAGCTATAGTAGTTAGTTGCTCTTGTATGCAATGACCACATGGTGAACTCCAGTCATCAGACCAACACAGTAAATACATATTTGCATATTGATTCCAGGAACAGGCTTAGGTCTACAAGATTTGCCTCTGTATTTTGAGCTACTCTTCTCTGGAATTTGACTGACAGAAGACTGTTCTGTATTTAATTCAGTGCTAGATATATTTTGTATGGAAATCCACTTTAAAGTGGAACCGTACTCAAATGTAAACCTATATTATTATTATACAGGATTTATATAGAGCCAACTGCTTGCGCAGCGCTTTACAAAACTGAGGTGGACAATAGTTAACAATACAATTTTAGTACAGGGGGTAGGAGGGCCCTGCTCCTGAGAGCTTACAATCTATTAGGCGGGCAAGTGATACAAAAGGTAATAACAGTTTGGGATGATTTAATGGAACAACTGAAAGGACGGTTATATCAAGGTGGAATAGGCCTCCCTGAAGAGATAAGTTTTCAAGGATTGCCTAAAGGTGGACAGAGTAGGAGATAGGCGGACAGATCAGGGTAGGGAGTTCCAGAGGATGGGAGACACCCTGGAAAAATCCTGGAGGCGAGCATGCGAGGAGGTGACAAGAGAGCAGGAGGTCTTGGAAGGAGCGAAGAGCGGGTTTTGGTGATATTTTGAGATGAGGTGGGTGATGTAGGTTGGGGTAGAGTTGTAGATGGCTTTGTAGGTTATTGTTAGTATTTAGAATTTTATACGTTGGCCAATATTAACAGTCTTGCTGGGATGGACCAGGGATGATATACTTACCTTTCTCTTCAATGATGCTCACATGTGTGAAAGCCTAGAGGCTTGCCTATGTGACTTCTGCTGAAAGGTCGGATCAGAGTTTGAATTGGCTGATTCTCTCATTAATAAGACACAGTCACTTTGCTCATTCAGAGTGGTCAGCTGGAGTTGGTGCTTACAGGGAGCAGTGACGACGTCCTTAATGTGACAGTGCTTAGGCCTAGTGATTGTCAGCTAGACATGAGTACTGTCACACGCTCACCCATAACTGGAATCCTCAGGTTATTTGCACCGGCTAAAGTAGCTGTAACAGGGCGTGGCTGGAGGGATGAGTATTAGTGGTTCGCAGGAGGGAGGGCTTTTCACAGAAAATATTATTTCACCCTGAATGAAAAAAGTGGTAGTGTCTCTTTAAAAAGAGATTGTTTAACCAAGTGCCTAGGCCAGGAGTAAGCAAATGCCAGCGGTCCAGTTGTTGTGGAAGTCCCATGAGACCACAGGCATGACTCCTGGATGCAGATGCATGATGGGATTTGTAGTGTCACCACAGCAGGAGGGCTGGATTTTTCCTATCCCTAGTCTAGACCATCACATATTGTATGTGTCTGCAATGAAGTGAGCCTCTGCAGGAAAAGTAAACATTTCATTCCTTCTATTACACTTTATCCATACCAGCTAGACTGTTAACATGGATTTATGTTAACATTTGAGTATGTGCCCCTTTTAGGCTTTCATGAAGCCTTTTTATGTAATATAAAAACTAAATAACACTAGGGACTATTCTAACTTTATGCTACTAAATTAAATATATTTAACAGATTCCTCCATCCATGCTTTCGGCCCACCTCTGAGTAAATTTTTGGACCCAGCAGTGCTCCCCTGTTAGAATATGGACAGCTACTGGTTCTGGGACCAAATCCCTGCTCACAGATAATGGTACTGATGTATTCTCCTATGAGTAGTCTGGAGGAGAAGACGTGACACAAAAATGCATTGGTGAACCAAGAAACATGTGCTCCCAGTCTAGCTGTGCAGTGTTGCAGAGGTGTGTAAATCAATTTCCTGTACAGAACTACAAATCATTTAACAGGAATCATCAGTGTTGTGTCTGGTGTACTGATTTAAAATAAATACTGCAATAATAATACAAAGTATGTGCTCACAAAAAATACTCCCTTTAATAGTCCACACAGTATGGTTGGGTGTGTGTTGCAACAGCCTCATGTGTGCGCGAGATGTCTGTTGATCTGCCATATAAACACAGGTGTGGCAAAGTCACCGCTTGACCAACTGTTACTAAACAGTGTACAGCCCTAACTACAAGTGAAACTTATCCTTACAACTGCTGGATGACAATGCATTTTTTTTTCTAAATCAATCAATAGCCTTTAAACGATTTGTTTCTGAATGTTTTTTCAGTTACCCTCTAACCCTCCAGCATGTTTATGTGTCACTGTCCTTTTAAGAATGACAATTCAGAATGAGTTCCTGATATGGATGTTTGTTATTCAAATTAGAAGTCATTCAAATGAGCATAGGGTTTCATTTCCACCTCATTTTCATATGGCTGGAATGCGTACCACGTCTGCACATTAAAGCAAGCTAGTACTTCAAAACAAGCTTTGTGACTGTATTTCTGTTTCAGCAAGCAGCACAGCTTAAAATGGACCTTCATCCATTTAGACACCTCCCCCCTTCCTATAACACAATTGCAGGATTACCTTTTTTACATTTTTAATAGCTTTACTTTCTCAATCCTCTCCATGATGGGGGTGACATATCCGGCTCTTGCTGCCTCCAGGGATGTCTATGCCACACACCCCAGAAGGCAGTTTGCGAGATCTCACGCATGGGCAGACAGGTTGTGGGTCTCTTGCAGGTCTATGGGACCTAGCAAAGACCTGCAGCGTGTCTGCACATGTGCCAGCTCCTGCTTAAAAATGGCATGGGACCTGGATAGGTGGATCACAGAAGGACAATTCTAGATTTGCTGGCAGGCAACTATGCCATCTGAGCTTAAACCAGCCCATGAGGTAAGAAAGAGTTTAAAGCAAATCAAGCCCCAGGGGGTGTAGTCCCACTTTAATGCAAAGATTAAAATCAACATATACAGATACATTTTTTTTAATGAGGTGCCATCGTTTTATCATTTCCCCTTAACCTGTCTAAATAGTTGACATTTTAAAATGATTTTCAAAGGAAAATCACTGCTGCTTAACATATACAACTGGCACAGTAAGGTCTTGAAAAAACAAAAATCATTATGCACTAACATTTTCTTTATTACATTAGATCAATGTGTCACCTTTTAGATGTTATTATTCTATGTTATAACAGATTGGCACAATATATGAATTCAATTCAAATTACAGGTAAATAAATATATAACCAGGGGGCATATCCAGCACCATAATAAAATTCTGATGTTGTTAGCACAGGCTTTCCTAGAAAGCAGGGACAGTTGTTAATTATATTTGTGGGTTGGCTGATGTGATAGGTTGTATGTCCTGTGGTAAACCAACTTCATTGTGTGCAAGTTTACAGAAGTATTTTAGTAAACTTACATCAAACATCACTATGCGAATTAGTTACATCGTTGTTTTTAAATAAAAGTCCCTTTGCTAAATGATATTGAATACTATGACCTCTTTACCCCTCTTTTAATATATTCAGGTTTACCAAGCTATTTTGTAAATATAACCTCTTACCTCTGTCTTTTCTTCCCCTGTTATTTAAAAATAGACCTAATCCGATCTAAATAAAGTTCTGTTTACATTTAGCTTGTCTGTGTCTGCATTGTAAGACAAGGAGTGAAAACATGGAAGCATGGAAGGCATCTGCTTCATGTATCTGTTTGATTTGGGCTTGATTTACGAAAATGAGAAACATGGTCTACTGAAGAGAACATAAACCAACAAAATCCCAAACTAAAGATTGAGTGGTTGAAGGGAACAGTTTCATGTTCCTTAACTTTTTTCATGTTGCCGTACTATATCAGATCAGGCCAGAAAAACAGGTAATTTATATGCAATATATATATATATATATATATATACACACACACAATTTATTTATTTTTTTCACACTCAAGGGCCACTTTATTAGGAACACCTTGCTAGTGCCGGGTTGGACCCCCTTTTGGGATGGACATGGTCAGCAACAATACTCAGGTAGGCTGTGGCATTTAAAAGTTGACCAATAGGTACTAAGAGGCTGAAAGTGTGCCAAGAAAATATCCCCCACACCAGTGTTTTTTCAATCTTCTATTGTACAATTTTGATGAGTTCTTGCAAATTGTAGCCTCAGTTTCCTGTTCTTAGCTGATAGGAGTGGCACCCGGTGTGGTCTTCTGCTGCTTTAGTCCATCTGATTCAAGGTTCGACGTGTTGTGCATTCAGAGATGGTATTCTGCATACCTTGGTTGTAACGCGTGGTTATTTGAGTTACTGTTGCCTTTCTGTCAACTTGAACCAGTCTGACCTCTGGCATCAACAAGGCATTTTCGCCCAGAGAGCTGCCGCTCACTGGATATTTTCTCTTTTTCAGACCATTTTCTGCAAACCCTAGAGATGGTTATGCATGGAAATCCCAGTAGATCAGCAGTTTATAAAATACTCAGACCAGCTAGTATAGCACCAACAATCATGCCACTTTCAAAGTCCATTTTCTTCCCCATTCTGATGTTCAGTTTGAACTTCAGCAGATCGTCTACATTTCTAAATGCATTGTGTTGCTGCCATGTGATTGGCTGATTAGATATGTGTGTTAATGAGTAGTCGAACAG